GATGTGGATAGAGACAGAATAAAAGATGATGGAAAATGCAGCAGGGTATCTATAATGTGGGAAAGAAAGCAAAGGGAAAGAAAGTTCTGCAGCAGCCAGGTTTAAGATGTAGAGAAAAGTGCTGTACCTGCGGATGTGGAAATCTAGCACAATCACATTTCCTGGCAATCTAACCAGAGTAATAATGAGTGTCAGCAACTTCATTATCAGTGTCTTTTTGCGAAAATATAAAGGACTGTCCTCCTCATTTTCATTCATGGTTGTGAAATCAGTCTCCCAGGCAAAAAGAGATGAATGCATGCTTAGGAACTCTCCACCAGGACCCCTACAAACACAAATAAGACTGTAGCACCTGCCATCATGCACTGGGATTCTAAGGACCACCCTGCTGTGTGAGAAGTACTGGCCCTCTGTATCAGGGAAGGACACAGAAGCTTGGAGAGTTTAAGTAATTAATGAAGTTGGAGATTCTGAAACTTCCATAAAACCCAGTGTTTTCTGATCCTAAAACATGATCTCCCTCTCCTGAAACATAGGTCTGGTACTGACATGGGAACGTTCTATGATGTCAACACTCTCACTGAATGTCCTAGGCCCTGTCATGACCCCCAGAGCAGGAGGAAGAAAGTCTGGGACAGACTGTGGAGGACAAAAATGGGGGTCACTGCAGAATTCTTCTGCACAGGGGTTTCCTTTCAGGAGCAAGAATTCAGAGACCCCAGTAATTGCAAATGGCCCTTCTCAGTGGCTCAGAGTGGTCCTTCTACCAGGGATAAAGGATGTCATTCAGAGTCATGAAGGAAATGTGACATTTTGCAAGGGGGGGGGTGTAGAAATAAACAGATCTCTTCAGAAAGAAATATTTCAATGAATCAGTTTTATGAGGACAGGAAGCACTTTATTCTTATCCATGCTGCTTCCCAGTGCCCAGCTCCTTGTGGAGGACAGAGTTGAGTAGTCAAGACATCTGTAATCCACGAGTGAATAAATTAACAAATAGGAAGCATAAGCATACTTGAAATTAGGGTTAAATATGACACAAAAATTTTAAGTTGAATTAGTCACTGGGAAACCCATATGGAATGAAATGAAGCAAATGCATTCCTCATGAACCCTTCTGTGAAAAAAGAGATGAGCAGTAACAGTAACAGTTGTGTCTCCATCTCAAGGAAAGCTAATATCTGGCTTTACTGAGCACAGAGAAGGATTTAAGGAAAGAGTTAGAGGCAGGATTAGGGATGAATTAAACTTCCAGTGCTTTTGAGAAGTAAAGAGAAAGTTTGAGAAAGGAGAGAGAGGAAGAAGAGATTTGGAAATGAGGCTGAGTTTGGTCATGGAAATATCCAAGAGGGGGTTAGTAAGTGACTTGCTGTGAAGTATGTAACAAAAAACCTATTCATTACCCTCCCTGATTCTAAAGAGTTTTCTTTGTAAATTTAAGCATTCTTTTGATAGAGTGCTTCAGGGCAGCATATTTTTGATGCTCACTGATGAAGGACTTTGGGTGAAAAGAAAGATACACAATTCGGGTAGAAAACAAAAAACTACACAGAAATAGGTAAAAATGTAGTACTGATTGATTAATATGTGGTATATCTTTTGATCCTATAAATAACCATACCTCCTTCCCTTGGAGGAAGCAGAGGCACAAGAAGGTTAAATGTTTTGCTCCAGGCTTGATACAAAACAGTGACAGAGCCTGGATTTGCACCCCGAGATCTGCACCTATGTTGCTTCCTTCTCCAACCCAGAAGCACCCCTGCATGTGAGGTACATATGGAAAGAAATGGAAGATAAAAGCTTGTATTTTCAGAGATTGTGAAGTAGCAATTTGTACTTTTTTATAATAGAATATGCAAAATTTTGAAACAACAAGGAAACTAAATCCATGAAAAACAGAACACAGAAGAAGTAGGTAGAGGACAATGGATAACAACTCCAGCCCAAGACCACTACCTGCCTCTGCAAAAGCAACAGACAGTGAATAAGCAGTTCACACAGGAAATGAGGATCTGAGGAAAGGATGGCAGGAGGCCCTGGGCATCAAGGGCCAAATGAACAAGTTATAGTCTCTCTTAGCGACTGTCTAGGAATTGTATACTTAGGTAGGCTGACAAGGATATGGAGGAGATATTCCCTCAGTGTTCCATTATCTTTTTGGTAATGGCACTAAACACAATTTGAACTCTATTTTTAAGTTCATATATATGTTTTCTTTTGTCTCTTTTATCAAATTCAAATCTCCAAAATGTCTAGACCTGCTGGTTTTTGTCATTGTTGTTCACTATTGTATCCCCAGCACCTAGAACAAGTCTTTCAGAGACCAATTATTGTAACATCCACATTTATCACAGGAAGGACCTGAAACATAATGATCACAAAAGTTATTTTAATCACATGGTGAAGAGCAAGTCCAACACCAGCCCTGATCTCAAACCCTCTCCAGTTCTTTCTCACTCTTCCCTATCTCAGTATTCACTATGTTAGGAACTCCCAAGAAATTATTTCTTGAATAATGGAATATTAAAATGCAAAGGAGAAGCCAGGTGCAGTGCCATATGCCTGTAATCCCAGTGGCTCAGGGGGCCGAGACAGGAGGATCAGGAGTTCAAAGCCAGCCTCAGCAAAAAGTGAAGCACTAAGCAACTCAGTGAGACCCTGTCACTAAATAAAATACAAAATAGGTCTGGGGATATGGCTCAGTATTTGAGTGCCCCTGAGGTAAATCCCTGGTACCAAAAAATAAATAAAATGCAAGGGGAATCATAGTTTAGCAACTGTTATTGCTCCGTCTATTCTTCTCCTTTCTCATGTAAGTGGGAGAGCTTTAGACCAGAGAAAGGACCCTAACCTCAACCGTCCTTGATGGTGTTGGCACCATGTGACTAGGCACTGGCCAGTGGAAGATGAATAGAAGTGTCCCAACTCTTGGATTGTGCTCTCTCAGCTCCTTTTTCTCCAATGTGGAGCTCTGTGTGGCTGAAAGCCAGGTATGATCAAGAGGATGAAAGGACATCCCTAGGGTTACCTAACTGAAAAGACCTTTGATATTAAACATCTTCAAAAACCCACTCCTACTCTAATAAAATTTCCTTCACTGATGAAGGACTTTGGGTGAAAAGAAAAATACTTATACACAAATCTGTGAAATTGTAACTATGATCATGGTTAAATACTAGCAATTGTAATAAATTTAAAATACTTATAAATACCCATATACCTTCTACTTTTCAAAACTACATACCATTCTTTTGTGTTTTGTTTTGTTTTTGTTTATTTGTATGTTTTTCATTAGAGCATTATAGCTATACATAATATTGGGGTTCATTTTCACAATGATAAAAGCATGGAATATAGTTCATTCAAATTCAGTTCCTCATACTTACACTTTCCCTCCCCTCCTATCTTTTTGAAACAGAAAAGAGCTCATGCATTCAGGTGCTTATACCCAGTTGGCTTCTATTCATATAGCCTCCTTTTCTGATAGCTTCTTCTTCCTTAGTTATTGTTTCTGAAATTTGCTTTACCTATGCTTAAAAAACCCACAACTTTGAGGAACTAATTTGGATTTGTCTTGAGCAATACTTGTTGATTTTTCTCTCCTCTCAATGTGTAGCTGACTCTGAATACTGGTAATAATTCTGAGAGACTGGCTAAGGACAAGGACTCGGGCACAGACCAGATCAAAATCATGATCCTAGAACCTTTTCCTCAATCTTTACTTTTTTGTTTTTGGATCTGTGAAATTGGAATAATAAAAAAATAATAATAAATAGTTACTTCATTGGGCTTAGAAGAGGAATAAAAGAGGTTATACTCAAGAAGTACTCAAGTCATAGTAAGTTACTGCTCTGCTCCTTCCTAATCTGGAAGTCCCAGGAACATCTCTTTTTACCCCACAGCTTCTAAGTTTAGAAATACGTATTTTTCTTGTTCCCAACCACTTTCTAAAGAATAATTTAAAAAAATGCTTTAGTCAGGAGTGTAGACTCCATTCAAAGTCACTCATGGGAGATAATGGGAGGATTTATGTTTATACCTTGTAGAAATCATTTAAAAATCCATCTTAAGTGCTTCGATGCTTCAATATTTTGTAAATTCCATTTTCACTTCTCTCTTTCCCTTATCAAGTGCTTTAATCTTTTCAAAAATGCAAGAAATTAGCTGGGTGTGGTTTATAATTGTAGTCCTAGCTTCTCAGAAAGTTGAGACAGGAGGGTCACAAATTTGAGACCAGCTTCAGCAATACAGTGAGACTCCAACTTATTGAATTAAAAGGTCAGGACACAGCTCAGTGGTATAGCAGTCCTGGGTTCAACACTGTTAAAAAATGCTAGAAATTCAGTTCACCTCTGAATATTCTCCTCAAACAGGACCTTGGATACTCACTAAAGCTATATACCAGTCCTTCATGAGATGGAGTCAATAACAATGACCATCATTAGCCATCTCTGCAAGCATAAGGAATTCTTTCATACACCAGTTTTCCACAGAAGGAACCATGAGGAATGAAATTTTTTCCATTTCTTGACCTGTGTGTTTTCTGGTGACTAACTTCACCTGAAAATGTTCTGAGTTATCTAACACATTTTCAACTGCTTTAAGGATCCCTATTCATTCATCCATTACAAAGTTCTTGAATCCTCACTGTGACCCTTACATGGAGATAGGTAATGGGGATATGTAATAGACAAGAAGAAAGGGCTTCCTGTTCTCCTAAAGCTGATCCTCCAATTCATTTCTAGTACAGGAAGTTTGGCCATCCTCTCACCAGTCTTATCTAGAGGTCACATTCCCTTTATGATTCTGAATCATGATCTCCTTTCTCCTTGTTGGATGGACCACTCCTGGTCACTGAGGGCCATCATGCATTGGGATTCTGGCTTCCTGTTCCCAGATTCTGACAGGAAACCTCTGTTCCAGGACAGAAATCATGATGAGCCCAAAGTCATATCTCTGTCCTGCATGGCCTTCCCAGACTTGTTTTCTGCCTCCAGAAGATATAGCATGACATGGACAATGAGGGGGCAGGAATTGGGACCGTTGACCATTCCAAAGTCAGTAGAGGACCAATGTTGAAGTACAGATAGCCCAGGCTTTGGGGCCAGTAAGTACTGGGTTTGAATCCAGATTCTAGGACTCTCTGGCCTTTAATAGATTCCTTACCCTCTGCAAGCTTTTGTTCCCTTCCCTGTGAAACAGGGACAGTTCCTCCCACATAGCAGGTTGGTCCTGAGTGAGAATCAGAGCTCAGGCAGCAGTTGCTCACATCTTGTTTGTGTCTCCAGGTGCACCAGTGGAGAGTTTTAGCATAGATCCAATGGCACCACCCTGAAGGACAGACAACACACCAGTGAATGGAAGTGACCAGTTTGTGACAAGGAGACCCTGATCCTAGGCTTTTTGGCCCTCATCACTCTCCTGGTTGCTGTGGTGGGAAACATGGTTGTGCTTCATCTTCTGAGCTTCTGCCTGGGGAAGAATGCCTTCTCCATCTACATCACCAACCTGTCTGGAGCTGAATTCCTCTGCTTCCAGGTTATAGATTACCTGGAGTAACTCACTGACTTCTTTCATTCCATCTTACCTTCATCCTAGCTTCTTTACCACTGTGTTGACTTTTGCCTACCTCCATGAACAAATTCAGCCTCATTTTCAAATCTCTCCCTTCCTCTCTGTCTCATTCTCTCTCTCTCCTTTCTCAAACATTCTTTTTACTTCTCAAAAGCACTGGAAGTTCAGTTTATCTCTGAATCCTGCCTCTAAACTCTTGACTTAAATCCTTCTCCATGCTTAGTAAAGCCAGACATTAGCCTTCCTTGACTTGGAGTCACAAAAGTCATCATTATTACTCTTCTCTTTACATGGGGCAGTCTTTCCAATACATCTCTGTATTTAACAGAAGGATTCATGAGGAATGCATTTGCTTTATTTCATTCCATATGTTTTCCCGGTGACTAATTCCACTTAAAATTTTTGTGTCACATTTAACCCAAATTTCAAGTCTGATTATGTTTCCTATTTGTTAATTCATTCACCTGTGGATTACAGACGTCTTGACTACTCAACTCTGTCCTCCTCAAGATGCTGGGCACTGGGAAGCAGCACGGACTAGAAAAAAAGTGCTCCCTGTCCTCATAAAACTGACTCATTGAAATATTTATTTACCTAGAGACCTGACTGTTCCTACACCCCCATCCCTTGCAAGAGGGCACATTTCCTTCGTAACTCTGAATGACATCCTTTATCCCTTGTAGAAGGACCATTCTGAGCCACTGAGGGTAGCCATTTGCCATTACTGGGTCCTCTGAATTCTTGCTCCTGAAAGGAAACCCCTGTGCAGAGGAGTTCTGGGATGACCCCCATTTCTGTCCCCCACAGTCTTTCCCAGACTTTCTTCCTCCTGCTCTGGGGGTCATGACAGAGCTTAGGACATTCAGTGAGAGTGTTGGCATCATAGAACGTTCCCATGTCAGTACCAGATCCATGTTTCAGGAGAGGGAGATCATATTTTAGAATCAGAAAGCACTGGGTTTTATGGAAGTTTCAGAATCCCCTGATTTCATTAATGACTTAATCTCTCCAAGCTTCTGTATCCTTCCCTGATACAGAGGGCCAGTACCTCCCACATAGCAGGGTGCTCTTTAGAATCCCTGTGCACGATGGAAGGTTCTGAAATCTTATTTGTGTTTGCAAGGGCACTGCAAACACAGTGGTGTAGGGTTCCTGAAAATGCAGCCAATTTCTCCACCCTGGTGGACTGATTTCACAACAAAGAATGAAAAATGAGGAAGACAGTTCTTTATATTTTCACAAGAAGACCTTGATTGTGAAGTTGCTGATAATCATTATTACCTTGGTTGCACTGGCAGGAAATGTGACAGTGCTCTGTTTCCACAGCAGCAGGAACAACACCTCTCTCTACATATTAAACCTGGCTGCTATGGACTTTTTTCCTTTGCTTCCACATTATAGATAACTTGTTGTATTTTACCATCATCTTTTCTTCTGTCTTCATCCCCACATACAGCTTCTTTGCCCTTCTGTGGATCTTGCCTACATTTTAGGCTTGAGCATGCTCAGTGCCATTAACACTGAGCACTCTCTATCAGTCCAGTAGCCTATCCTCGCTGGCTCCTTTACACAATGCCTTCAGCAATGGCTGACTTGCCAGCTGATACTCCAGCGGGCTTTGCAAGGCTCTCCAAGGAAGGTGATTGTGGAAACAGCTGTTCTCAGGAAGTCCTAGAGATATCAGGCGGCAGAGTGAAATGGTGATGAAGAAACTCTGCTTTGATCAGACAGATTGGCTCTGAGACCCAATTTCTCCCACATCATCCATGTTGGGACATTTTCTTAACTTCTCACATCCTTGACTTCTGATCTTAAAACAGTTAAGAGAATAATCGCCCTGAAATAAATGACTCAATGAATAAATAAACCTGATGCCTTTTTTGTAGTTGAAAATAGTGGTTAATTAGTATGTCGAGTTTTAAATTTGTACACAATTCTGAACACATAAACCAAAAATCTAAGAAGCCATCCATTGTGATTCTTTTACAATAGTTACTCTAGCAACTTGCCAGCTTCAAATATGGAGACTAATTTTTCCATATGTCCCATTATCTTCTAGTGTTCATAAGTTTTAACAAAGTCCCACTAGTGCACAATTTTATGTAATATATACATATACTCAAATTTTATTTGTAGCACATTAGCAAAATTCTTAGAAAAAGTTTACTACTGTGACGAAAGATGTTATAGAGTACACATAGTTCTGAAAGGGCAAGGATCAAGGAAACAAATCTCACAAAAATGATATGGAAATAGAAGTGATTTAAAATGTTCAAGCATAGTAAATGCCTGACTGTGACTCCAAATTGTCAATTAGAATGCTTTGTATTATAGGATACAAAACTGACCCCTCCACTTCAGGAATATTAGGCTGACACTAAAGACATTCAAAGTCTCCTGTAATTCATATCCCCCTAAAATGAGTAACCAGTCAATGATTTCAACTCTTCAAAAAAAATCATTTACACTTGGGAAATGGGAGAAGAAAACATGGGATTCCTTCCTAAAAAATATTGTTGGAATCCACTACAGCAAACTTATCAAACCACCCACTGATCTCCCGAACGGATGATTGGATTAAGAACATGTGATATACATATATATATGATATATATCATATATATATATATAATATATATGCACAATGGAGTTTTACTCAGTCTTAAATAATAATGAAATTATGGCATTTTCTGGTAAATGGATGGAACTGGAGAATATCAATAATAAGTGAAATAAACCAGTGTCAGAAAGTCAAGGGTCTAAGGTGTATGTGTGTGTGTGTGTGTGTGTGTGTGTGTGTGTAAACTAGAGTGAAGTAAAGAACATGTGTGTGGGGGGACACACAAAAACTGGGGAGATCAGTGGAAGGGGACTGGGGGGTAGGAAAGACAGGAAAAGGAAGAAAATGTGGAATGAAAGTGATGATATTATGTTATGTCCATAGGTAAATATATCAGTGAATTCTACCTTATGTTTATCTATAAAGCACCACTTTTAAAAAATAAATAGATGGCAGATCAGTAAAATAGAGAAAGGAGATTTGGGGGAAGGAGGAGGGGAGGAATAGAGGAAGTACTGGGGACTTAAATAGAGCAAGTTATATTCCATGTATGATTATTTTAAAATGAACCCCACTCTTATGCATAACTATAATGCACTATTAGAAACATTTTTAAAAAATATTTCTACAGCTACAAGAAATTTGCTTTTATGAAATATTTAATAAGATTATTTTAACGGATTATTCAAGAAGGGAGAGAAGGACCACTGATAAGAAATAGTACATGGTGTTATCAGCTTGGCTTCTTTCTCTTTTGCTTGGTCAGAAGGCTGGACTTTCCTAAGTTTTAGTTTCTATGTTTACTTCAGGCAAACCTTCTTTTGTTTCTTGCTAACCCACTTCTGCCTGTTTTCCCTTCACTGCCCTTTCTCTTTGCCTGTACTCATTTTTTTGAAAGTGTGTCCTTGGGTTTGGATTGTGGCTCAGTGGTGGAGCGCTTGCCTAGCATGCATGAGGCACTGAGTTAGGTTCTTACCACCACATATAAGCAAATAAAAGTCCATCAACAAGTAAAAAAAAATTTAAAAACATGTGTCCTTTCCTGCTGCCCTTTTGGCTTCTTTTCCATTGTTCAGGGGCATGTTCAACTGACAACCTTGCTGATTTCCTCTTGGGCTCTCCCTTCCTCACTCCTTGGTCTGAATTGTCCTTCCTTTTGCACACCTTTGTGGTGGGGAGAATATGTGCCAGATGTCAGTAGGCCACCGTGTGCCTAGAGCCTTGGCAGAGCTGGGCATCTGGCAGATGGTGGTCCTCCCTCTGTTGGAGCTGGGACCTCTCCAGGATACATTTAAAGTCTATCCTGGGCTAAATCTCCACTTAGAAGATTAGAATCACCATCATTACATTTATTGCTTTCATTATCTTCAAGCATTTCAAACATGAAATGTGGTTTTATACCCAGATGAATATGGAGGGAGAGGGAGGGAAAAATAGATTTGGAAATTAGGTTGAGTTTGGTCATGGAAATGTCTAAGGGGGTTTAGCAAGTGACTTGCTGTGAGATGTGTAACCAAAAAAAAACCTATTCAGTAAACTCTAACTGATTCTAAGGACTTTGGGTGAAAAGAAAAATACTTATGCATACAATTCAGATGGAAAACAAGGAACTACAGAAAAATGGCAGCTATTATGAATACAAACAACAATAAGTTTTGGTGACGATGTTGGGGAAAGGTACATTCATACACTGATGGTGGGACTGCAAACTGATGCAGCCAATATGGAAAGCAGTATGGAGAATCCTTGATAAATTGGGAATGGAACACCATTTGACCCAGCTATCCCACTCCTCAGTCTGTACCCAAAAGACTTAAAAACAACATACTACAGGGACACAGCCACATCAATGTTTATAGCTGCACAATTCACAATAGCTAAACTGTGGAACCAACCTAAATGCCCTTCAATAGATGAATTAATAAAAACAAATGTGGCGTATGTACACAATTGAATATTACTCAGCAATAAAAAGGAATAAAATCAGGGCATTTGAAGGTAAATGGATGGAGTTAGAAATGATAATGCTAAGTGAAGTTAGCCAATCCCCCCAGAAAGCAAATGCCAAATATTTTCTTTTATATAAGGAGGCTGATTCATAGTGGGGTAGGGAGGTGGAGCATGGAAGGAATAGATGAACTCTACATGGGGCAGAGAGGTGGGAGGGGAAGAGAGGGTGCATGGGGTTAGAAATGTTGGTGGAATGTGATGGACATCATTATCCAATGTACATGTATGAAGACACAAATTGGTGTGAATATACTTTGTTTAAAACCAGAGATATGAAAAATTTGTGCCCTATATGTGTAATATTAATTGTAATGCATTCTGCTATAATATGTAAATAAAAATTAATAAAAAATAAAATCTACTAAGAAATGCAAAAAAAAGGAAAAGAAAAGGAAACGGGGGCTGGGGAATGTGACTCTGAGATACAATGTTTTCTCACTTTTATGTTT